ATGTTGACTGCACTTATAAAAACCAAGATAAAATTACGTTTCTCTGATTTGAATGTATTTAATCAGTCACAAACATTATGGAAAACTGTCTCTTGCCCACACTAGAACGATTTTTGTCCTGCTAGCCTGAAAAAACATGAGTCAGAAAACAACATTGTATCTGGCCAAGAGCAAGAGTATCAGATACCGTATCAATGTTTTCCCGCAGACTGGATAGCATTTCTGTAGCCCAGAAGATATGCCAATAAAAAGGTTATCTGAGCACTCCACTGGTTGTAAACCAAAGACTTAAGCAACAAGACAGATTTCTCAAATAAAAGACTAGAATTACACTGGAATTTAAGCTGTGCAAATGTCATTTTAGTATGTATAAGTAACCCAGAGGAATAAATTATAAGGCAAAAAGTGAATATTTAGTGAAGAATTTCACTCTAAATATGATATGCATCACAGAGTATTCCTCAAACCCTCTAGAAATGAAAGCAGAGAAAACAAAAATATCATTGCAAATAAATAATTTTACCTGATTACTTTTCATATAGAAGGTATCACTTTATAAACTATTATGTAACATTTAATACAGTAGCTTTTAAATATTTCACATAGAAAGATATTCATGATCACTGGTAACACTGAATACAGCATAGATCTAATCAATGTGAATGGACTGGAAGTCTTAGAGTCAGATCCTGGCCAGCAAAACTAGGGAAGAGAATACACCTCTTATGCATCATTTGGTGGTGGTGGTGATCTATTTCCTACACTATCCACTTCCAGGGTTGTGGCACCCTCCACATATATCTCTGGAAACCGGCTATTCACAGAGCAGGCCTAGAAACAGGGAAGTACAGGCAGTCCCCGGGTTATATGGATCCGACTTACATCGGATCCCTACTTACAAACGCAACCCCGCACTAGCTGCTTCCCCCCATCAGACCAGGGAGACGCGGAGCGGCTTTTCTCAGCAGACACCTCAGCTTGAGAATAAAGGACTGAGGGAAGTGAGCTGTGGGAGAATAAAACAGCTCTGGAGAAATGTTTGGCTAGAGTTTCCCCTACAATATGTACCAGTTCCGACTTACATACAAATTCAACTTAAGAACAAACCTACAGTCCCTATCTTGTACGTAACCCGGGGACTGCCTGTACAGTACTCTGCCCTTTCAGTTTGTGATACGTACTAGAATCTGATCCACATTATCCAACTGAAATTACATGGGAGATTTCAAAAGTTAGAGTGATCAAGTATGAAATGAAGGCAGGACATCAGGAGAAATGGAAGGGCGCCTGACAAAAGATAGCTATAAAATAGAAGGTTCTATTCTAGCCTCACAAGAAATTGTTTTTATTCCTGTGGAAGATAAAAATTAAGAGACATGTCAATGGATAAAATTATACATGGACACAGTAGGGAACTAAAGAGAAAAAAAAACCTTTCACCTTTAAATCACTGATTCAAGTCTCACCTATGCTGTCAGAAGTTCAAGTAGTAATCACCCAAAACTACACAATGAATTTCTATAGGAGTTGCTTGTCTTACATATTTCTTGTGGTCACATTTCACAAAGACCACCATCATCAAATTACTTTTCTTACTGAAAGTGGTAGCTTAAGTGCCCTCCCAAGGATTTATGGAACACGACAACTGATTGCACTTACCCGTTGCATTGCGTTTTCGTAAACAGGGTTGAAAACACTGGCAGTATGTTATGAGGAAGCTATCTGCAAGAGTTGCCAGTCTGAAAACTGTCAGGAGCACTGAATATTCATCAAAAATAGTATTTATTCCATAGAAAGAATAATCTTTGCATATATCAGAAGGCACAAACATTCTAAATTTACTGTGTACCTTAAATACAACTCTTATATTTCAGCTTTTTTGTAACATAACAAAAGGAAGGCAAGGACCGTCTAAGAAGAAACAGTCACAGCAGCATTAGTAACTTGATTGCAAGTTTTCCTTCATCTTGTTTATATAGTATTAGCTTCTTGAAAGTTCCATCAGTTTGCATAACTTGGTGACATCATTGACAGTTCTAGTACCATGCAATCTGTGGAACTAATAGTATCAGTTATTTCACCAAGTGATTTTTTCTGGGAGGTATTTAAGAAAGATGCGCCAGAGAATTTCATGAGCATTCACACATTTTGTAAGGAATCCCAACATGTGCATGCTGTATACTTTTGAGCCGCATTGTTACAGAGAGTCTTCACTCTCCGTTTCTTGTCTTAAATTACCTTTCATTTTAGATTTACATTTCACCTTTAAAAATAATGTAATGTATAGAATAAAAAAGGACATCAAAAGATCCTTGAATCCATATACATACACCCAAAGACTTGTATCAAATTACATCAGCGAGAAAGAAAACTTTCCATTGTATCCCATGGGCTCATCTCAGAATATACACTAAAATTTAGAATAGATAATTTCACACATTGTGGTATTTCTTATATAATGTAGTATTTCTAATAGACTAGGAAGGAGTATTTCTATTCTAATGTAAAAAATTAGAGGGGAGGACACCAACATATCTTGCTAAAATGAATAGTCCTTTATATTACATTTTTATTTTGCAAGAAAATAAATTATACAACTTAAAAAATAAAATTCAAAAATTAAGCAGTACATCAAAATAGTTCAGCCGGACTGCCATAAAGAAACTGCTACCATTCAAAATTGTACAGCATTATCATCTCAGTATGTAGTGGCACACATTCAAAATTGTAAATACCATATGTAGATAGATATTACAATCTAGGAACTCAAGTTTGTTCAACACTTCAGACTACATATAGTGTATATGACAGAAAAGCTTTCATGTATTGTTTATTTCACAAAGAATACTTCATGTAACCTTGAAGAATTTACAAAGATAGCATCCCAATCATTTAAATGAAAACAGAAAACTGTTTTGAGTCTTTTAAGACAGCAAACCTTTCTGTAAAACTATATCTTTCACCCATTTGTGTTTAAAAATTTGCACTTTATAGGATGACATCCCAATGCAAATAAATATAAAATGCTGACTATTCAGGATGTTACATTTAAGAAAAGTCGAAAACAAGAAAGCCACCATTTATTTTGTTTTTGAAATGTAACTATATTACGTTCATAATAAGTGCAAGAGAATCAAATGACTAAACAAACTTTTGATACTAACAGTGGTAAGAAAAATGGAAGACTTCAGAATTAAAACTGAGATCTTCATTAAGTTACTGGGACTGAGGAGGATTTAACAGTATTTCTTAATTCAATGAGACATTAAGAATGTGATAAACTGTATTTTCACATCTGTAGTAAGTTTTACTCCATATCTATTCATTGCGACAGTGTAAGTGGCACCATGAGTTTCAGCACCTCTTTAATCTAGGTCTTTGGAAATATATGGTCATCACTAAACTTCAGCTTCAAAAGTGCATTGTTGCCATATTGCAAAGCAAAGAATCTCTTATTTAGATATGAACACCTCCCATCCGCAAAAGACTTCACTGCAAGTATGCTTTATGCAAGTAAGGCTTATGCCTTAGATAACATTAGCTTTAAATACATGTTGGTGAAAGTAACCCGATGAAAGATGGTAAATGTGATTCTGCATGTTTAGGAAGTTGCTGGTGTGATTTTCAGATTCAATTTTTTTTAAAAAACTGAACATTTTCAAATATAAACCTAAGGAAAATGTAGCATTGTTATAGACATGCTATCAAATATAAAATTCTTCTCATCCATAATGAAGTATGTTTAGATAACTTAAAGGTTATATTTTTTGTATATTCTAGTGGGAGAAGGAGAAATGTAAATAACTGGCAATTAGAGTTTGTTGCTGTCTAGATTCAAAATGGAGATATGGGACATAATTGTTTATGAAAGTCAACCTCCAAGTTGTCTCCTGGATTTTGAGGACTTAGAAATTAGTATTGCCCCACTTTCATATTTAACTTGCTTGTGCATGACAATACTTCATGGCTATTATTCTCTGATTTAATGTTGTATACTGTAACCTATTCAAAACAGGTGCTCAGATCATCATAATGGAATTATTTTAAAATTCTGGCTTGTTTGCCAATTCCCCCAAATTATTCCCAAATGAACATTTATTACTATTCATCTTAAAATCAAGTTACAAACGCTGAAAATTGTGGCACCATACAAAAAAATTTCTATTTTTAGAATAATTTTCTAAATTTAAAAGGTTGGTTTGTGTGTTACCAAGCAAGACACAGAGAGCACCTTTACTTTTAATTTTGAATTTATCATCATTTTAGGGTTAATAATCTGATATTTCCATGCTAATTTAAAGATGAAATATGTTTTTCCAATATCCACTCATTTATAAGTATAAATAAAAGCATATAAATGTATGCAGTGAGATTTCAATACATTTTATATTGCTGTCTATCAGTTTTCCTTCCTCTTTTGCCTGGCCATCAAGTCTTCCTAGAGCTGAAGAAGTCTTATTCGGCAAGGTGTCAAATATGCATTGCTCTAAGAAACTTGCACTGGCCCATGCATCAGTGATAAGACATACACCCGCCTTCTACACTGGGAGTTCACATCAGCACAGGTATTTCTCTCAGTGGCATGAAGAATTCACTCCTCAAAAACATTATATCAATCTAACCTCCCATTGTAGTCACAGATAGTTTGAAAGATGAATTCTACTGTCATCTAGTTGCAGCCTCTTGGGGAGGTAGATTACCAACGCTAACAGGAGAAGGCCTTCCAATAGCGTAGGCAGTGTCTACACTGAAGTGCAACAGAAGCACAGTGTAGGGCTGCAGCATTTTAAGTGCAAGTCCACAGTCTGCAAGGCAGGAAAAGATCATTCCTACAATTTTCTTTTGTTAAGATGCTTATTTTACATATTATAGTAACCAGGCAAAAGTCAGTTTCTCTACTATTTTTCTTTTTTGGAAGAGTGAATAAAATTAAGGATTCTTCCCATGTTGTCAAAAGCAAACAAACAGATTTTATGTTGGGGTTGGTGTATTTTCAAGACACTTTTGCAAGGCTGCCTGATAGTGTCATATGAATACTCTTATTTTTGGATGCTAAGTAAAAGCTAACTTACCTCCCTCTGCAAGCCCCAACAGACTCTTCTCCAGCGGTACTGTGTCATCAGTTGGAACATTTGAGCACTGCCAGGAGTCAGAGGCTACTTAACATGGCTGCGGAAAAATTTGACCTTTAAAAATTGGCCAAATACACCTAAGGAATTTTGACAATTTCTCTTCACACGTTAAAACTGGGAGTTTCTTCCTTAAATATTTGCAGGTCTCCTTTAGCTATGTTCTTTATTTCCTGTTAACTTCAAACCAATCGGCAGCTGCTGCTTTATTTATTTTTTAAGGAAATTGACTTTTATGCAAATAAAGAGTAAATTCTAAAACAAAGCCACTGGAATATCTGGATATGATGCTAATGTACAGAAATTGCAAAGGGTTATTTTCTCATAGAAGACTTATGGATCAGTTACTATATAACTCTGAAGGCATTAAAAGTAATTCAAATATTAAGTGTACAAGAAAATACACTTAATATTTATGTTCACTATAACAGACCCAACCATGAAGTAGTTATGGGGAAGAAAGCTTCACCTTTTCTAAAGGACAGTAATAAACCAATCTGCCCAAATAAGATAAGCAATGTATACCCATATGTTTACAGTAAACAATATAAAACAATGATCTCCTGCTTAAGGAAAAACAACATACACAAATTGGAAATATTTTATGTCACTTGTATGTCAATATTAAAATCCAGTTACTATATTGAAGCACTGCTTGAGCCAACAGGTTGTTGTTGTAACAAATTCATATCTGTTGTGATGCATCTGTGTGTCTCTCAAATGTTATACATAAAAAGAATCACCAAAGGTGGACAGTACATTTACTCTGCTTATCCAAAACAAAGTGAAAGTGCTACTTCTAGTCCTAATTGCATTAAAAAAACCAACCAAAACAAACAACAGCAGTTCCTCAGTGCATGAGTATTTGAAAGTCTTTTTGTGTGTGCAAGTACTGTTCATCTAAAAACCCAAGCCTGTATTCTTCTTGGTGGGTGTAAATCAAATCTACTTTAAAAAGCTCACAAACGGGCTCTTCATGAATGCAAGTTTCCCACAAAACAGCATGCTGTTAAAAGTGTGCAACATGAAGGGAATGCCATCATGCTAGCTGAATGAGATTGGCAAAATATAGTCCTCTTGTAAGATAAGGCAGGGATTTTAATATGTATTGAAAATCAAAGTGAGTCCTTCTCCAGCACAAACACTGTTACAGCTGTCTGCCCAAGCACCTTTCAATTTGTGTTCTCGGCCCTTAGAGTCTTCAAATTATGCCATGTATATGAAGGTGTTGATATCCGATTCATCTCTTCTGATATATTTGTGCTCTATAAGCCATTCAATTTGCTCTTTTATCATTTTCTTTTGTGGCAAGAACATGTTTTTCAATATTTCTACCAGTTCAGTCTGAAGCTGAGCATTTGTAATTTTCTTCCGCATTTTCATTATTTGGATAATAGCCTCCTAGTGGGGGGGGGGATAAAAAAAAAAGAAAAGGGAACACAAGAACAAGATGATATTAAAGGAAGTCACGAAGGTGGAAAAATTAAAAACTGGTCAAAGAAAGTATGTTATACACAATGAATTACATTGTAGATTTCAGTACCTTTGGAAGTTACAGAAGCCAAGAATTTAGCAAAATTCAAAGTGAGACTGGAAATTTGTGTGAATATTAAAGGTTATAATAAATAATGCCAACAAAGATTTTGGAAGGAATATTAAACCTCATGCTTTAGGGCTTAAGCCTACCTATAAACTATTAGAAATCAAGGTAAGACCTAACGTGGAGAGAAGAAATCGCCATATTCACCAACTTCAGGGTTCTTAGCATTCATCTGAAGACTCCGGCACTGGCCACTTGGAGAAACAGGGCGGGGAACTAGACAAACAAGTTTGATCCAGTATGACAATCTCTACATTCCTATGAAGTCAGGTTTAAAACAACATCTTTTTCCTTGGCAAATATTTAAGATTGGAATAATGATGATTTTCCTGTCCATATGAGTTATACTGGGCCAAGTTCCTTTAGTCACTCACTGAAGGAAAAAAGGGCACAATACATTTTCAATAATCTCTAAGGCTGTGTCTAAACTATATCCCTCTTTCGATAGACGGATGTAAATTAGACACTTGGAAATTGCAAATGAAGCGGGGATTTAAATATCCCGTGCTTCATTTGCATAATCGTGTTATGGCGCTCTTTCGAACAAGCGCCATTTCGAAAGTAAAACAGCAGTCTAGATGCGGTTCTTTCGAAAATGGCAGGCTTTTTCGAAAGATCCTGTACTCCTCAAAAAATGAGGTTTACAGGTTTTCGAAAAAGCCTGCCATTTTTGAAAGAACCGCGTCTAGATCATGGTTTAACTTTCGAAATGGCACTTGTTCGAAAGAGTGCCATGACGTAATTATGCAAATGAAGCACGGGATATTTAAATCCCCGCTTCATTTGCAATTTCCAAGTGTCTAATTTATATCCCTCTGTCGAAAGAGGGATGTAGTCTAGACATAGCCTAAGAGGAAAACAAACAAAAAAAAAGAACCGTCTTTCTCCGGGCTCCCTTAAAACAGAATGCCTATAAGAAAAAGACTACGTTGGAATTATCTGCACTGTAGAGAGCTTTGCAGTTAATATGTTACTTTGAATTTGTCAGCTAAGAACATCCTACAACCATACTTCTTAATTCAACTCACTGGATATTGAATAAATTCAATTTAATTTAAGAGGTTGATGGATATAGAGTATACAGTTAAGTACTGAGAGGATGATTAAGAGTTTATGATGGAATTCAGTCACCAACTTCTAAAGGAATTTAGAATGCATCCATAGTGCAACCCTATTTTGTGTTTGGCATCACACGGGTCAGCCACTAAGGTCTGTGCGCTAAAATAATTGCCATTAGAAAAATGATCTTCACTATGAAAAAACAATCTCCTAGGCATCAAGGCGTTCAAAAAGGAATTTCCATCAACTTAGCCATGATCTGAGTATCTAATCCGGAGGGGTGGGGAGGGTGGACCTTTTTTGAGTCAGGGCTGCTGACCCACAGGGAAAAAAAAAAAAAAAAAAAAAAAAAAATCAGTTGGGGGCCACACGCAAGTGAGCAGAAAAAAAAAACCCTTACTGTGGACCCCGAAGGAAAAAGATACTCCCCACATTCCCCTCACACACCAGAGCCTAGGAGGGCCCAGCCTAGAAGATTGTGTGCTCCAGCCCCATGGAGGGGGAAGGGAGGTGGGCTCAGCGGAAGGACTGGTGCGCCAGTGCAGGCTCCCCAATGCTAGAAGGGGTGCCCTGAGCCTCAGGAGCCAGAACCAAGCAAGCCGAGGGACGCATCTGGCCCCTGGGCCTGGGGTTCCCCACCCCGATCTAATCCCTTATCATGGTCAGAAAGGATCTGCAAGTTGAAGAGACTGTGAAATGCTGACAGTGCACAGAAAGTACTGCATGACAGTTCTAATGACTCATAGCTGAATAGCGATAGAAATGTAGCCGTGTTAGTCTGGTGTAGCTGAAGCAAAATACAGGACTATGTAGCACTTTAAAGACTAACAAGATGGTTTATTAGATGAGCTTTCGTGGGCCATCTTGTTAGTCTTTAAAGTGCTACATAGTCCTGTATTTTGCTTCATTAGCTGAAGACTTTCCAGTTGGGTATGTATTTTTACAGAAATGTATTTTTATACACTTGGGCTGTGTCTACATTGGCAAGATTTTGCCACCTGTCTACACTGGCCGCGAGTATTTGCGCAAGAACATTGACGTTGTAATGTACAAAATCAGTTCTTCTTGCGCAAATACTCTGACACTTCCGCTCAGGGATAAGCCCTCTTGCTCAAGTATTCTTGCGCAAGAGGCCAGTGTAGACAGGCAATGTTAATTTCTTGCGCAAGAAAGCCCGATGGCTAAAATGGCCATAGGAGTTTTCTTGCGCAAGAGAGCGTCTACACTGGCACGGATGCTTTTGGGCAAAAGCACATCCTCTTGAGCAGAAGCACATGCTAGTGTAGACGCTCTCTTGTGCAAATACTTTTAACGGGAAAACTCTTGCGTTAAAAGTATCTGCGCAAAATCTTGCCAGTGTAGACGTAGCCTTGAAGTATTTTTAGACCTTCACTAGAAATTAAATGAAAAGAGTTTCTTGAAGAAAACACATCACTCTTTTGTACTATAGTTTGACAAGTTTTCACAAGATCACTGCTCTCACCCATTCTGTGTACAAAATAGTCAAAGAAAAACTAAAACCATGATACATTATTTCTTCATCTTTGTAGGGAACCTCTGCCCTGGTTGGAGTGAGACTCGGTATCCCACTGTCCCCACTACAAAGTCTCCACTCCCATTGCATTGCTTTCTGTCATTTACAGATGACAGTTTGTTGTTACATCAGAATAGAAGATCAGTATTATCTGTGAACAAAGACAATTTTGCACTCATCAGGGCTCAAAATGAGACTAAGTCAAAACTAAGCATCCCACCCCCATACTATTCTATCACTCAAATTTGATCGATCTGAACCCTATTAGAAGCAAGTTATTAAAGTTGTTTCCAGAAGTCAGTTTTTGGCATATCTGCTCAGAGTCCTCAGAAGAAAATCAGCTACAGTTGTGTTTTCTGTGAGTGGACACCTGCTTGCTGGGAACTGGATCATAATTTAGACCAAGAACTCATTTCACTCAGGTGACCAGCCAACCATCAGATGGATAACAGTGTTCATTTACTATTGACTGGTTCTTGATTCTGTATACAAATTGCCTAGGTGAAAAGATGGCTATCCAAGGCTAATTTTCTGACTCATCTAGTTATTTCCTAGTACATTCTTAAAAGGTTTAAGCAGAGAAGATTGTAATAATTCTAAAGCAATTCTACTGAAAATAGTTTGCAGATGTTTATATTGAAAACACATACAGGCAGTCCCCGGGTTATGTACAAGATAGGGACTGTAGGTTTGTTCTTAAGTTGAATTTGTATGCAAGTCGGAACTGGTACATATTGTAGGGGAAACTCTAGCCAAACATTTCTCCAGAGCTCAGTTTTATTCTCCCACACCTCACTTCCCTCAGTCCTTTATTCTCAAGCTGAGGTGTCTGTTGAGAAAAGCCCCTCCGTGTCTCCCTGGTCTGCTGGCGGGGGGGCGCTAGCTTCGCGTCTCCCTGGTCTGCTGGGGGGAAGCAGCTAGTGCGGGGTTGCCTCACCCCATTTGTAAGTAGGGATCCGATGTAAGTCGGATCCATGTAACCCGGGGACTGCCTGTAACTAGAGTATAGTGAGCAGGAAGTTTTAGCAGGTAAACTGGACACAGTTTATTCATACCCAGTGATAACTGGACGTGTTGCTTTGACACACAAGAGGCAGCCAAGGCAATTGATAATGGGGAGGATGAAAGTAACCTATTTTGGGCAAGTGACGAGACATTTGATTTGAAGTGGAAGGGAGGGTAGGTTGAATTTCCAACTTTGTACCCCACTGACCCTGGATAGCAGCAAGCTCACCACTGCGCTCCATCACAACATTAAATCATAGAAGTGGAAGGGACCTTGAGAGGTTCTAGTCCAGTACCCTGCACTCATGGCAGAACTAAGGCTGGGTCTAGACTAGACCCAGCAGCTTGGCATATGGTACACAACTCCAGCTATTACTCTAAGCCAGGGTTTCCCAACCTATGGGTAGGGACCCAAATATGGGTCACCATTACATTTCAAAAAGGTTGCCAAGTGTCTCCCCCAGTGGCTCCCCTCTCCCCCCGTTTTTGAATTGCCTTGGGTCACCAAGTCTTCCTGAATTGCTTTCTAGATCTTCAGTCATTTTTTGTTGTTCTTCTCTGGACTTTTTCCAATTTGTTAACATCTTTTCTGAAATGTGTTGCCTAGAACTGAACATAATATTCCAGCCAAGGACTAATCAACGCAGAGTAGAGTGGAAGAATTACTTTTCGTGTCTTGCGCACAACACTCCTACTAATACATTCCAGAATGATGTTTGCTTTTTTGCAACGTTACACTGTTAATTTACATGAAGTACATTAGCTTGACCTTTCTGCTATTATGATCAGCAGTAAAATTAACCATGTTGTCACTCATACCAATCTTTTGTTTGAGTTAATACTTAAATAAATTTGGGTTGGGCAGCAAACTCCTCTCAGAGTTATTGTTTCAGGATGATTTTCAGTGGACAAGTTCACATTTGTTTCAAATTCTGCAAAGGCTAGATATTTTTAAATTAATTTACTTTCAAGAGCAATACTGTAAAGTACATGTTCCCATATTAAATACATTTATGAAACTTTCCCTCAAAAATGCATGCATTGTAAAACCCTTTTCAAAAACCATCTGATTTTTAATCCTGCCCAAACTCTGATTACCCTGATGAGCATCTAAATAAATAAAAATGAAAAGAAATAGGTTTGAAAACTGCCCTTTTCAAGTGGTGCAGAATAGGAAAAATACTTTTAGATAATTCTGGAACAGTAGCATAACACCACAAACTTCTTGTGCTCCGCAGATTTTGTGACATTGGGCTTCAGACTATTTTTTATCCCATTTAATACGTTTTTCATGTAAGAACTTCTCAAAAATGGAGGTGGCATCTGGTAGTAGTAGGAGGACATCAAAGGAAATGGAACCGTTTTACATTTCCTCTGTTAAACTTCACTTACCTGGGTTCGTAATATTCTTAGCTGGACTATTCCTTCATTCTCCTCTTCTCGCATTCTCTCTGTAGTGAGTTGCAACCGGCCAATCAAATTGATCTTACCCCTTTTCTGAACTTTAGCATTTTTTCTGAAAGAGTCATAATTAAATATGAAAGTAAGCCAAAACACACTCATTTTACATTAAAGAGGAATTCAAATTAGACTTACAGCAAAGCAGCACTGACTTAGTATAACAGTACTGCACAATGGTTGGAAATGGCTGGTGGACAGTGCAAAACTCCAACTTCTCAAAACACGTGTAGGTTAGTTTAATGCCTCAACAGATGAAAAACACACACATAACTGATGTCAAAGAGACAGGATACACAGCTGGGCTGTGGTATTATGTAGTTTTACAGATAAAAATACTTCCAATACAATCTATGTTAAGAGTTTTGGATAAGGAGTTTATACAAAAGTAAAGCTAGGAAGTTGGGCTACTTCCTTGTTCATCACAGAGGCTGGCTGTCTATCACAAAAACATATGGGAAAAACAACAGATAAATTTGATAAATATGCTAATGATGGCAGTGGAATTATTCAGTTTTCACTCCCAAATTTTCCTATGATTCTTCCTTTAATTCACTGTGTCATATCATCCATTCTTTCAGTATGCATGTTCCAGGAAGGAAGCAGGGACATCTTCAGCTCGTTGCAGGAGACTCAGCAGCTACTGGGGACTAAGCAGTTGCTGTCACTGTCTTTCCCCTCTCACAAGCTGGAGCAGCTAACAGAGTCACAGACTACGATCCCCATGGCAAGCCACCAGCCCTATGTTATTTATGATCAAAAGGGCTAAAATCTTTTACATAAAGTAATATGAATCAAATGCTTATCAGTTGGATGTTAATGTCTTATTTCCATAGCCTCTTTCATTCTGAAAGATCCCAATGCACCAGTCTGAGGTTTCTACACTCCTTACTGCAATATGATCACCTTTATCATAACATACAACAGCTCAGCCACTTTTTAATAGTGCACAGAAATAGTAAAAAAAAAAATTAAAACAAGAAGTGAAAAATATAATACCCATTGTTCCTGATACTAAGGTAAATGCAGATAACATCAATCTTCTACTCAGATTCTCTTCTAACACACTTACTCCTGCTTGAAGTGCCATGGACTCATTAGTAACGAATCAACCCCCCAATTTTGCATCTCAACGGTGATTAAAAAAAAAATAAGATTATTTCAAGAGAAATCCTTTAGTACTAAAACATTATATGGTATTTTCATTTTCAAAGAATATCTTACATTAAACTGAACTCCTGGTTCACTGAGAAGAGGGTTCCTTCTGTAAAGTCTTTGGGCGAATTGACTTGAGGTTCATACAATAAAACCTGACGTTTCAGCTTTGGAAATGCTACAA